TTTGCCATCAGATTTGAAGCAAAAGATGATTGATGCTTTAAATCGTGAATCATGTGATGAAAATATTAAGCGAATATTAATAAAAGATGAAGAAATTTCGGAATTTATACAAAAAGGGTTCGAATACTTTGTTTCCGCCGAAACTAAAAATTTTTTTAAAAGATTTGATTTAGATAATCAATTTTTACAAACAGACCCATCCACTTGGTCTGAAAACACTAGTTTCCAAAAAGGGCTGGAAATAGTAAATAAACTACGAGTCGTTAATGATACAGCAGAAAGAGGTGTTCAATTAATGGAAAACTACACGGAAAAAATTGCTATGGTTGTTACTACAATATTCTCTATGTTTATAATTTAAAACTAATAATATGAGAATAGGGCTACGAGCCTGAGATTCATTAAAATCTTTAATTCTATTAAAGTTTTCTATTGTTCTATCGATAAGTAATATTCGATTAGAATATCCAAATATATGGTTGCCTCAACCGAACAATTATTGCTATCTCTCAATATGGTCTTAGAACAAATAGTATGTTTGAGAGATGTATAGGTATATGGTTACACAGCACTGAGACTAACGGTTGCACTATCACCAGTAGCTTTTTATAACTAATGTTACCGCCAAAATTCGCGAGCCGCGACTCGCGAAGACCTACTGCGAAAATCATAGATATCATAAGTAGTATAAAGTGTTGTATTGCATATTTGTATTATGGACGAAGCTTGCGAGCTGTATCTTCAAAGTATAGGATATGAGGCCTTAATTCCGATTTTCAAAGGTAAGATATAACGTTCAAAAAACATTTTTAGGTTACAGTCGAGATTACAGTTTATGTTCTGGTCGATGAAATAGGAAAGTTTATTAAACATTTTTAGGTTACAGTCGAGGTTACAGTTTATGTACTGGTCGATGAAATAGGAAATTTTATTAATCTTGTAATATTCTTTTGTGTAATTATTCCCCCTTTCTTTTATATAATAATTGTGATATTTTTCGCTCATCAATACGTATTAGTTATAGCAACTGTAGTACTATGGAAGTGTCCTATATGTAACATCGGTTGTAACATCCATATATTATAATAGATTATTTACAAAGAACGAAGAGCAAGCACAATATGTTTTGCAAATTGTAAACGATTACCACCGCCGGTTTCCCGACTGTAAAAAAGAGACATTATCTAAAAAGTTATAAGATCTTATAAGATTGTAAGTTGTATAATAAATAATCTATAAAATGTGTTAATTAGTAATTCTCTTAATTCGTAGCATTAAGATATAATAAAATATTCTGTTATTATTAAGAATATATATATTTTTGTGCCTTTCTTAATTAAAAATATTCAAGTCAATTAAGAAGATCACTAACAATTTTTAATCTATTTCCTGTTTTTTTTTATTTTTCTCGAAAATCGTTCATCATACGAAAAAAATGAACAGGACTTAAAATGTGCCCCTTATTCAAATCTACAACTTTTCTTTGAAACCTTTTTTGATAAATTTAATAACTTAGAAGACATTCAGAAAATCGATAATTTTTTCGCTTTATAATAAAGTTCAAAGGCTTAGCGGCACGTTTTCCTTTTATCCGATTGGGCTAAAATTTTAAACAGATTTTTTTTCTTCAATTGGAACCGTTTTAGGGGGTGTCGCAAATAAAATTCGAAAAAAAAGTTTTCATCAAGAGTAAATAAGAGCCACCCTAATA